TTGCTAACTTCTTTCTCCTACATAAAAGGAAACTTACTATTAACACTGTTCTGCAATTTACTGTTTTGCACTTAACAAAATACACTGGTGGTGACTCCATATTAATGTGTAGAGCTCCTTCCCTTACTTCTTATAGCTGCATAGTACTCCACTGTATGAATGAACTATACTTTATTCAACTACATCCCTACTGATGCACACTGGTACTCTATCTACTCTTTAAAAATAAAACAAAAAAATACTGCCGTCGAGTTGGATCTGACTCATAGCAACCCCTCTTTGGGTTTCCGAGGCAGTATCTCTACGGAAGTAGATTGCCCAACCTTCTTTCCGAGGAGTGGCTGGTGGGTTTGAACTGCCAGCCTTCTGGTTAGCAGTAAAACACCTTAGGCACTACGCCACCAAAGCTCCCATCTACTCTTTGGCTATTAAAAAATACGCTGACAAACAGCTTTGTGCGTACAGAATTCTGGAGTTTTAAAATATATTTCTGTAATAGAGTCTAAGAAGTAGTATTGCTGATACAAAGGGAAAATGGGTATTGAATTTTCTATATATTGATAAGTTCTACTCTATAGGAGTTATACTATTTTGCACTTCCACCAGCAAGGTATAAGCGTATTTACGGAAGGATTTCTTGAGACTGAAAAAGCACTAACCATTGATGGGGAAAAAAAAAAACTCACTGCCATCAAGTCAGTTCCAACTCATAGTGGCACCTCCTTGAGTTTCTGAGGTGGTATCACTATGGAAGTAGATTGCCCAACCTTCCTTCCGAGGAGTGGCTGATGGGTTTGAACCACCAGCCTTCTGGTTTGCAGTCAAAACCTTAGGCACTGTGCCACCAGAGCTAGGAAAGGACTGATAAATTCAACTACATTAAAAATATCATAAATACCATAAAGAGATGGGGGAGGAAAGCCACAGAATGGGAAAATATATTTGCTACACAAATAAAAGTTAGTTGAATGCAGAAGACATAAATAACTTATATAAATCAATAAGAAAAAGATGAACAACTATTAAGAATAGAGACAAATGGTTGAAAAGGTTCTTCCCAAAAGAGGAGATACACATGGATAATAAATAAATGAAAAAGTGCTCAACTGTTGGTGACCTAAATATAA